CCACAGGTGACACTGTGACCCTATGGGTGACACTGTGACCCCACAGGTGACACTGTGACCCCATGAGTGACACTGTGACCCTGCAGGTGACACCGTGATCCTGTGAGTGACTCTGTGACCCCATGAGTGACATTGTGACCCTGTAGGTGACACTGTGACCCCCTGAGTGACACTGTGACCCCGTGGGTGACACTGTGACCCCGCAGGTGACACTGTGACCCCACAGGTGACACTGAGACCCCATGAGTGACTCTGAGACCCCACAGGTGACACTGAGACCCCCTGAGTGACACTGTGACCCCGTGGGTGACATTGAGACCCCATGGGTGGCACTGTGACCCAGCGGGTGACACCAATGCCTGTCCCCAGGGGTGACACCACCGTCTGTCCCCACGTCACTGTGAGTGACACCAAGTCACTGTGGGTGACACTGAGACCCTGTGAGTGACACCATGACCCCAAAGGTGACACTGTGATCCTGTGGGTGACACTGGGTCCCTTCAGATGACTCTGTGACCCCAGGGGTGACACTGTAGGTGACACCATGTCTCTTCAGGTGACCCTGTGACCCCACAGGTGACACCGTGACCCTGCAGGTGACACTGTGTCCCTTCAGGTGACTCTATGATCCCAAAGGTGACACCGTGACCCTGCAGGTGACTTTGTGTCCCTTCAGGTGATTCTGTGACCCCAGGGGTGACACCGTGTCCCTTTAGGTGACACTGTGACCCCACAGGTGACCCTGTGACCCCACAGATGACACTGTGACCCTGCAGGTGACACCGTGTCCCTTCAGGTGACACTGTGACCCCACAGGTGACCCTGTGACCCCGCAGGTGACCCTGTGACCCCACGGGGTGACCCCACCGCCACGGAGGACACGCCCGGTCCCCGAGGGTGACACTGTGACCCCCCAACAGCCCCTGGAGGACACCACCGTGTCCCCTCCCCCCGGTGGCACCGCGGCCACGCCCCGGGGGGGTGACACCGCGCCGGGTGTTGGGGACACTCCTGTCCCCTCCCCCCGCTAGCGGGGGATGGGCTGGCACCATCCGCTGTCCCCGTGTGTCCCCTCCCCCGCCCCGCGCTGCTGACGAAGTTTTTAATTAATTAAC